TGACCTTCATTATTTTGCATATGTTTCATTGTGATTTCACTGAACACAAAATTAACCAATAAATTCGTATTATCAAACTTGTCCACGAGAGAGTTGATAAAAAGTTTCATTGACGCTAGAAAGAGTGAAATACTCCCTCCGTCTAAAAAATTGTACTTTGACTAAGTTTATATTAGAAAATACTGATATTCAAGTAGGACGTTTCACAAGTAGTCAGATTTACATATTTTCTTTTTTTTAATATTAGGTGACCATAAATTTTCCAGCAAAACTGATAATTAGAAAGGCTGGTTTGACAAAACAACAAAGCATGCCCACAGGCTTAGCATTCTTGCAACCCGTAGCTAGGCATGGAAAATTGATTGTCAGGAAACTATAAATATCTTTATGACAGTCAACTTGAACAAATGCTAACCTTAGCAGATTTAACCAAGGAGCAAGTAACCAAATAAATTTTGACAATGATGAAATGGTATTCTAATGTCCAGATTATTAATCAGACTCTTTCAGCAATTGTCTAATCTATATATAACTCAAAGAGCATCCCATGAGTGATGTACAAAAACAGTCCATATTATGGAGAAATAATTAGCATTTTTACAGTGTAAAAATGGCAGAGAAAGAGCAGCATGGATATATTATATAAAAGCATAGTAGGTTTGATTTTGAATCCCACACCGACTTTTGGTTTCCTCATTCCCTCCTTGAGTATATATTCCATGCTAAAATTCAGAGGGTAATTATGCAATCAGATGGAACATGCAGCATGAGACTGATTAATCTCCAGAGACCTTTATTACTTGCTAAAAATCACATGTGCTAAAAATTCTCGACGCAGGTCCTTTTCCTTCTCAACCTAGGTCCATCTACGAGGACACAGCCACCAAGGTTTGCTAGCATGGAGACACATTTTGTCGAACATGTTGCCCGCGTTACATTCCCCACTTGGGTGTCCGCTTTTTCGCACAGAAGGGGTGGGCATAGCCTGGTTGACCACATGCGCCGTCGGGATGCCGTGCACGGACGCGTGCGCCGCCTCCAGCACCGAGAAGCCGTGCCACCTCACAGTGGTCGGCTTTGGTGGCGCTGATGAGCTGGAAGGCGAGCCCGGTGTCCTGGCCGAGGGTATGGTGGATGCTGTCGAGGAGCGACACTTGGAAGTGGACCAAGCTGAGCGCGTCCTTCTTCACCAGCACCACGGTGCCCCCGATCCGGCCCTCCAGCACCGTGGACGCCGCGCCGCCTCACGGTGGTCGAAGGCGTGTAGCACGGCCAAGCGGGGAGTCATGGAGGGGAGGGGAGCGATGTCGCGATCGTAAGGGGAGCGACGAGCACGGAGGAGACCGAGGCAGATGGAACAAGTGAGCGTGAAACCAAATAAAAGGAGAAAAAAGTTGTCCATTTTGCAAATGCAAAGAGGGAAAGTAATTTAATATAGGCAGATTTGGCAAGGTTTTCAGAAATGCAAAGAGGTTTCTTTTGTCTTAATTCTCTTTTCTTCTGTGTTAATTCTCTTTCCTTTTGCTCGTTGCCATGTATGCTGGTGCATGCAAACATGCAATGTGTATATGGATAGCATAATAATTTTCTACTTCCTATTTTGTCGTGATTCCTCTATCACATGACAGGCAATATTCAATCAAGGAGATGTCGTGGGATCGCAGGCGTGGGCAGACGGACGAACCAAAACAAATGTCGCACCAAAAAATGTCCACACTTTGTTCTTTTTAGTTGTAGAAGATTATGTTACCTTTGTCCTGTCTTGTAAAACATGATGTTCCTGAAGAAAAGTTGACTATCTTGATTTCTTTTGTGTGTATTATCCTATATGTGTAAAATAGTAATAGAAACTACTAGTTCAACTCAAAATAATGAGTATGGACAAGATTGAGGAGGGTGAGAAATGATAATGATGATATGGATTTGGACGCAGCTTGTGAGCATTTTAGCATTTTTTTCTATATAAGGCGGCTTGTGAGAATTAATGCAGAAACTTAGTTGGAGCCTCAAATTAACATTACAGTAATATTCCCACTGTTCTAAAATATTTTAGAAATTTTAAAATAGATTAACCCTATTTTAATTATAGCGAGAGTGCGATACCTTATGTACCATATTTTGAGCACAATGGTGAACACTAATAAAAAGGTATGCATGGGATTGGTGTTGTGAGGGAGTTAATTCACCCAGAATGCATTATATTAAGACAATTTTTTAATGTTTTAATATCTTATATTTTAGGATTGAGGAAATAGTAAGATAAGGTGTACTAAATTTTAAACTACTTCATTTTTTTAATGAAGTATGCGGTGGCTGGTGAGATCTTTCCCTTGAGATCTTTCGGTTCCCCCGGGAACGACGTCCGGGAAGAAGTGAGGATTGTCCGTTTAAGTAATGTAGTAGATTTGAAATCATTCCGGGCGGAAACTACTCAATCGAACGAGCCCTAAGAGAAGTGAAGGTAAAACTTGTACTTCTTCATATGTGAATCAGTAAAACCGTGTGTGTGCATGTCAAACACTTTGCATATCAAGCAAAGTGGAAATGGTTCTTGGCGAATATCACTGGCAATTACTTATTACAGATGGAAATATAGTTTTTTTTTAGGAAAAGATGGAAATATAGTTAGCTTGCCAAACATGTATTTGGGCCTTATTGGATAGACCGGGCCAGATTGCTAATTTGGACTTTGGATTCATGCTAGATTACCTTGACCACCACGTTTGGGGTTCGACTAACATATAAAATGCCATTCAAACCTTGTTTTCATGGTTCCATGCATTCCTAATCCGCTGACTCTGGTCGGTTTCTCAAAGCGAAGCCAAGAACTAGTCCTACGAAAATTGAAACCTGTTCTCTAGTTAGTTATGTTGAACAGACGATGACACATGGCAAGTTGCCTAAACAAATAGCCCAGAAAACTTCGATGATTTCATAAAAATCGCGCTGAGGTATTTTGCAATTTTCTCACAAAGGCCTAGTTGTCAGCCGGCTTGTTTGATCGGATTTATTTTTTCAGGGAGTGATTGATTTGATTGAGTCAGATGATCGTTCATGCATTTTTCAACGCCGTTCATGGCTCACGCGTGCCGTGCCATCGATGTCGAACAGCTGAAGCACACGCTCAAACTGTTGGAGTGTTAAGATATTAGCAGACAGACCTGGCTCTCCCTCAGGGCACTTTGGAGCCGTCTATGGTTCATCCAGTGCAATAAACCTGACGTAGAAAGAACGGAGGTGGAAGTACCACTAATTTGGAATGATGTGTGATTTATTTGATCGGACAAAAGATGATGCACACACATTAATCAACCGTAAATATAGCTTTATGCCTTGTTTGGATGTGGTTGGATTCGTATCAATCCACATGTATTGGGGTAGATTGGAGTAAAACTTTGAACTAAATTTCATCCCAATCCACTTCCACACATGTGGATTGAGGTAAATCCAATAACATCCAAACATCCTTAAAATTTTTATAAACTACGAAGTGTATATGTCTGGACCGTGTATCCACATCCATCCGTCTAATGTGCACACACATTAGTTCACGAAATTTGCAAGGAAGCTTCTCACTAATGATCAAATGATTCAATTCAATAGAATAATGTAGATTAAACAGGTAACGTTGATGAGACAACAACATCGTGCTAGTTAGCATAGTTGAAAAGGACAAACCGTTAGACTTGCACAAAAAACAGGCAAAATATTAAGGTAATATTGGATTTGAAATTGACAGAGAACTTTAATGAAGTTCAAGCAGTGATTTGAAAACCAGTCTACGGTACGGAAAAGAAAATAAAAGTATAGTCGTCGCGAGCCGAGAGTAAGAGGAACTAAAAATCCCTCTTTAATCATGCTACATCAATCAGAATAAGGTTTCAGTACTCAAACACTCAATGTGTCATGTTCAGTTAGATGAAAATCCCCTTTTGACTTGAAACAGTGAGAACCATCTGCATTCTTGCACTTGCTCTGGAAGCAACTTAGCCAGAGACTGACACTTCGTTCCTTACTGGTAAAGTAACTAATCAGTTCCTTTCCACAAAGGAAAAAAAGAAAGCTAAGAAACCAATCAGTTATCGCGCGATATTCCTCGCATGAGCTAAGCAGTAACCACCACACACGGCATATATTTCCAACCATGCATGTCTCATTCAAGGAAGTCCATGTTCCACGAGCAGCATCCATTTGAACACACCAAGAATCAGTCCTTAAGAGAGCACAATGCAAAGCACACGAGCTAGAAGATACAATACAATATCGACGGACCATGACATAGCTCTCTGCCGTGTCACAAAAGTCAACCATCCTCGGTTTCGTGCCAGTGTTCGTCAGAGTCTTGTATTTCACGATCGACACTTCATCGCTTCACAAATTCACGTCACATCGATCCTTGGGTGTACACGGTCACACGGACACCACATGGTATATATCCACCAGTTTTGCACCACCTAGTTCATACTACAGATAGCTAGAACAGGAGCAAATAAAGGCAACCAAGATGGCTAGGCCGTCGTCGACAAGCAGCACGGCGTCGTCGCTGGCCGTCCTGGCGGTCGCCGTCGCCGTCGCGTCCCTCGCGCAGCCCGGCGCGGCCGACCTGAAGCTGAACTACTACGCGAGCACCTGCTCCAACGTGGAGACCATCGTGCGCGGCGTGGTGCAGCAGAGGGTGCAGGCCACCATCCGCACCGTCGGCTCCACCGTCCGCCTCTTCTTCCACGACTGCTTCGTCGAGGGTTGCGACGGCTCGGTGCTGATCGAATCCACGCCGGGCAACCAGGCGGAGAAGGACGCCTCCGACAACAAGTCCCTCGCGTCCGAAGGCTTCGACACCGTGCGGAGCGCCAAGGCCGCCGTCGAGGCCGCCTGCCCGGGCACGGTGTCCTGCGCCGACGTGCTCGCCCTCGCCACTCGGGACGCCATCTCCATGGTACATATGCCTGCACGTTAGTTCCAGGCCCGATACATCGTGGTACTAGTATAACCTAACGTGCATGCAGAGTGGCGGGCCTTTCTTCCAAGTGGAGCTGGGTAGGCTGGACGGCCTGAACTCCACGGCCGGCAGCGTGCCAGGCCAGCTGCCCGAGCCCAACCAGACCATGGACCAGCTGCTGGCGGTCTTCAAGGCACACGGGCTCAACATGTCCGACCTCGTCGCGCTCTCAGGTCCGTGTCCGTCAGACATACACACATGCATTAATTCTCAGCTGCTTTGTCAGTTCATTTCTTCACCGTGTATATATGCGTGAACTATGTGCCAATGTGATCGATCGAGCAGCGGCGCACAGCGTGGGTCTGGCGCACTGCAGCAAGTTCGCGAACCGGCTGTACAGCTTCCAGCCGGGGCAGCCGACGGACCCGACGCTGAACCCCAAGTACGCGCGGTTCCTGGAGAGCAAGTGCCCCAACGGCGGGGCCGACAACCTGGTGCTCATGGACCAGTCCTCGCCGGCGCAGTTCGACAACCAGTACTACCGGAACCTCCAGGACGGCGGCGGGCTGCTGGGCTCCGACGAGCTGCTCTACACCGACAACCGGACGCGCGCCATGGTGGACTCGCTGGCCAACAGCACCGACGCCTTCTACAAGGCCTTCGCCGACGCCATCGTCAGGCTCGGCCGCGTCGGGGTCAAGTCCGGCAGGCGGGGCAACATCCGCAAGCAGTGCGACGTCTTCAACTGATCACAGAAAAATTGCATTTGCATCGTTGCATGCGTGCGTGCGCACGAAATTGTGTGTGCGTTGACATGCATGTTCGTTCCAGAGAGAGGGAAGATTCGTTTCATTTGGGTGTTTTGTTTTGTTTGTAATCGTATACATCTGTCCTGTTTGATTCGTTGCATTGCATGCGTTGATTGTTGAAGGTGTCAGGTCTGTGTAATAATTAATGCACATAAGATGTTCCGTAGACCGTAATTAATTGTACAAAGTGACGAATAAAACATTCTCCAGAATAAGTATTGGATTATATCAGGCACGATGCTGTCAGTCACAGTGTCGGTTTTCTGTGTACCAACTGAGCCCTTGTTTAGTTTTCACCCTAAAATTTTACACCTTATCACATTGAATGTTTGACACATGTATGGAGTATTAAATAGACTAAAAAATAACTTTGCGAGACGAATCTTTTAAGCCTAATTAAACCATGATTTAACAATAAAGTGTTACAGCAACACATGTGCTAATGATGGATTAATTATGTTTAATAAATTCGTCTCGTGGTTTACTGACGAATTCTGTAATTTGTTTTTTTTTATTAGTATCTGAACATCCCATGCGACATCCCCATGTAATACTTTACGTGACACCCCAAAACTTTACACCCCCAAACTAAACAGGCCTAAATTACATGAAACTTGCCACGGACAGATACTGTATGTGGTACCATACTTTTTTGTCCATACATGCAGCACTCCGGTAGCGCAGAACCATGATCGAGGCCATGTTTAGTTACCCAAAATTCTAGAAGTTGGCACTATGCAAAAAGAAGATTCCCCATCATATCAAATTTGCGGTACATGTATGGAGTACTATATGTTGACGAAATTAAAAACTAATTGCACAGTTTAGTTGTATTTTACGAGACGAACGTTTTGAACCTAATTAGTTAACGATTGGACAATTATTACCAAATAAAAACAAAATGCTACAGTACCTACAGTGGCGCACCGAATCCGGCGGCGCCGATTCGTTGGCCGAACTAAACGCGGCCCGATTGCTCCCGAGTCTCAAACATTCCTCATCCGAAACCACTTGCGGTCACCGTAACCTCCGTGCTGAACCTTCTATCTCCCAGAGGAATTATTGGAGGCCTAAATTTTTTGTCAAACTTATGAGCAATTATTGTTCCGAAACTCGATGTCCACCATGGTGTTTCGTCATCATAGGTATTTTTTAGATGAAAGGTTTCCCTACTTTTGTATTTCAAAAAGCCAAACATCGAGTTCACACAGAGTTTTAGCACTCACGCGCGACGCCCAGAAACAAAACAGGTCTAGCCCAATGGCTACTTACAAAGCTCAGCCGTAAGCAAATCAATCCTGGCATCTACTGAAGGCTGAGCATCCGATTGATCCAACTGTGATGATAATGCCGTTGTGATTCCCTCCTTCCACTTGATCTGCGCCGGACGCCTTGATAACTCCTCCAGCTTGACCATCAGGCCTTCCAGCTGCACTCCGGCTTCCTTCTTGTACAGCGGCAACCATCCCCTTAGCATTCTTGTAATCCGAATCAGCACCATCTTCAGACCCAACCATACCACACCCTCAAAACAAAGTTCATTGCGTAATTTCCATAGAGACCAAAGCACCGCAGAAGAAACAACGTTAGCGATCACATGCTTTTTGTTTGCAATCCAGAATTTAGCTACAGACTCATAATCACTACCAATATCTACGCCCAAAACCTCAGATATAATCCTCCAAACATTCACCGCAACAATGCACTCAAAAAACAAATGGGAAATAGATTCTTGTTTAGAACAAAAGAGGCAAGTTGGGTCACTGACATCTCTTCTTTTCTTTAGATTTTCCCTTGTCAGCAGCCTATTGCGAGATAACAGCCACAAAAAAAAGTGAACTCTAGGTGGAATCACCAACTTCCAGATTGCATGAACAAACATAGGTCCCACCCCTCTACAATTGATCACCGCATAAAGAGATTGAACCGAGTAAGTGCCGTGCGAAGTGTAAGACCATAGAATCTGGTCCTCCTCATCAGTGAGAGAGGTCCCCTTAACTAGACTACACAACTCCCACCACATGCTCATAAGCGCTTCAGACACATTTATCCTAAAAGTAAGCATGAGTTCTTGACCATTCCAAACCTGACTTACAGTTTTACCATGTTGCTCATTAATAACATACAGCAACCAAAAAATAATTGCCAAACTAGTATTACCTATCCATTAGTCCTCCCAAAACCTGACCTTCTCCCCATTACCAACCACCCACTTGACGCCCAAATGGGCTGCTTGAGCAGCCCACAACACCCCTTTCCAGAAAAGGGGAGGCACCCAAATCAGGACAGCAAAAGATGTTGGGATCTTTAGTTTTATACTTAGTCTACAATGTTGACCAAATAGCATTCTTGTGCAGCTGGTATCTAAAGATCCATGAGCTTAACAAGGCTAAGTTTAGACTTCTCAAGTCTGGGATACCCAAACCTCCCATATCCTTTTTTTGAGCTACTAACTGCCAACTGGCCAAATGATACTTATGCTTTTCCTCAGCATTATTCCACAAAAAATGGCTCATATGAGTATTCATCATCTTGATAGCCCACTTGGGGAATTTGATAATCGACAACAAATAAATTGGAATGCTAGCCAAACAAGCCTTGAGCAAGATAAGTCTACCAGCATAAGACAACAATCTACCTCTCCAGCCAGCAATTCTTTTGATGATTTTGTCTACCACTGGTTGTAAATCCTTCCTAGTCAATTTATTAAAATGTAAAGGCACACCCAGGTATTTAATAGGAAAGTCACATCTTTTACAGCAAAATAATCTTGCAAATTCATTAGCTTGGTCCTCGTCCAACCCCACTGTTAATAGGTCACTTTTATCATAGTTTATCTTCATACCTGACATTTGCTCAAAACACACCAGCAACCACTTAAGGGTACTGGCCTTTTCCAAATTATTTTCTAAAAAATAGCAGTGTGTCATCAGCATATTGCAAGTTGATGATACCTCCCTCTACCACTTGAGGTAGTAAATCAGAAATAAGACCCTGCCTAGCAACTTTTATAAGCATCCTGGAAAAAAAACATCCGCTACTAAATTGAAGAGAAGTGGGGATAAAGGGTCCCCTGCCTCAAACCTTTTCCGGGTTTAAAGTAATTACTATTTTCGTCATTTATTCGAATACAAATAGAACCTCCTCTAACCACCTGTTGTAACCAGCCCCTCCATTTGCTCCCGAAACCCTAGAAACAAGCATTTCCTCAAGGAAAGACCAACTAATCCTATCGTAGGCCTTCTCATAGTCCAACTTTAGCACCACCCCTTCTTCTTTCTGTTTGTGGACCTCATGAATAATTTCATGGTCAGCCACAACACTTTCTAGTATAAATTTGCCCTTAATAAAGGTAGTTTGGTTTGAAGCTACTAGCCTATCAGCTACCTTAATCAGCCTATTATTTAGCAGCTTAGAAAAAAATTTAAAATTGCAATTAATCAGGCTGATAGGCCTGAACTTCTTAAGCACTTTAGCATCTGGTTCCTTAGGGATCAGTGTTATCATAGCATAATTCAACTTGTCTAGGTTTAAGCCCCCTTGCTCAAACAATCTAATAAGGTTCATCAAATCTCCTTAATAAGATCCCAAAAGGCTTGGTAAAACAAAAAGGAAAACCCATCAGGTCCAGGAGACCCTTCAGCATAAGAGCCAAAGACTGTCTCCCTAACTATTTCATCTGCTGCCCAAAAATCCTGCCCCAACCTAACACCACTACTAGCCTCTTTTCCAAATAACTCTTTATAAAACTCCACAGCATGCTCAAGCATACCCTTATTATCTTCAATCCAGCCATCAGGGCCTTCTAAACCCCCTATTCTTTTCTTTCTTTTTCTCTGGTTAGCCACAACTTGAAAATATGTTGTATTTTTATCTCCCTCTTTAACATTTCTATCCCTAGATCTCTACCTAGCCTTTGTTTCCTCCATCCTCCATATGGCCTCTAGGTCTCTAATAATGTTCTTCATCCGTTGTCTCTCTAACTCAGAGATCCTCATATTCTCATGTTTTAAATCTAAGATTTCATACTCCTTAAGGAGCTCCTGCTTCTGCTTCTTAATCTGGGCATTAATATTAATAGCCCAGCTCTTCACCTTCTTCCTAATCAGTCTCATCTTAAACTGCCAAATGTCTAAAGGATCAGTAAAAGCACAAGGAGTGTTCCAAAGCTTAGTAATCAATTCTCTAAAACCAGACTGTTGTAACCACCATTTTTTCAAATCTAAAAATAGTAGGTTTCTTTGTCTCCTCAATGCCAAGGTTGAGGAGCAAAGGGACATGATCACTACCAGCCCTAGAACTTGTTGTAACAAAAGCTAAAGGGAACTTAAGTTCAAAATTGGTGGTACAAAAGATTTTATCAATCGCAGCCAAAATAGGTTGCTCCTGGTTATTAGTCCAAGTGAAAGATCTGTTAGATGGCTTTAATTCTATCAGACCAAACTTATTAATCCAATCTAAGAAAAGATCGGTCCATCTATGGTTGATGATACCATTACTCTTCTCTTTTGAATTACAAACTAAGTTTAAATCACCCCCAATCACAGTCGGACTATCCCAGTTATCTAGGAGGTTTTCAAGCTCTAAAATAAACTCTTGTTTCCCTTCATCATAAGGTGAACCATAGACTGTAATCAGTCTCCAAGTGAAGTTATCATGACAGTTTCTAACCATAGCAACTACACTGTAAACACCTATTTTCTAGGCTAGGACCTCAAATTTCCTCTCATTAAAGCCTACTAAAATTCCACCAGCAGTACCATCAGCAGGAAGGCATTGCCAGTTGAAGTCCTTGTGAATATATTTCAGAAAGGATTCCTGGAAACTTTGCTTTTGTCATCATAGGTAAATTGCCCTACAAAATTTTACTACTGAACACTTGGTATGTCTTCCGTATAAATTTTACTACAAGACACTTGGTATGTCTTCCGTACAACCCGCACAAGTTGCCCTATTAATAATCGTACAAATTTTACTACTGAACACTTGGTATGTCTTCCGTACAACTCGCACAAGTTGCCCAATTAATAATCTTTTTTCTTTGAGAGTTATACGTACACTCACTTCTATGAATATACAACCCGCACAAGTTGCCCTATTAATAATCTTTTTTCTTTGAAAGCTATACGTACACTCACT